AAGTAACAGGACAACGTTAAAATAACGAACAAGCTTTATTTTCAGTGATATACTGACTTAATTGTCGGCTCTGTGGCTAAGTCGATGCGAACGCTTCGTAATGCCGGGATGCCGGGTTCGATCCCAGCTGCAGGCCATGCGCCTTGCATTGGTTTCGACGGTGGTATCAAGAAAGCCGACCGTCCTGAAAGCAATGGCAAACTACTGGACGTAAATTTCTTAGAAAAACCATACATCAGCCAGGGGTTGTTGGGGTTGGTTCTGCAACGTCCTGTAAAGGATACGCAACTAACCTAACTGACTTAATTTTCGCTTCCTTTTATACGAATCATTTTGCAGTACATATACCTTAAACAAGTTCCGGGTAGCCTTATCTCTTGTAACTTAACTCTTTCTTATACTTGGCTGGGAAACCGATTGGATCTAAAAAGGAAACGAAATTTTTTTCTAATAAAGTGGATTAATTCATAATATAACTTTATATGAATTTTAGGTCCTTTAACTTGTATAGCAATGCTTCATAAATACAGGTGTATAAAAGAGGCATCCAGGCCAAAATGGCGGAAAGGCTTGGCAGAATGTATAGCTTCGAAGGTATTTTTGCTTGCGCTTTACTAATGCAGTCTCCACATAAAGACGATAGTCTACGGTTTTACTGCCTGCGCTACTTGTTTCTACTGGGTTTAGAGCTTGTGAGCTGTGTTTCTCCTGTGGAATGCCTTTCATTACGTTGAAAAGGCCCTCTATTATAATTTAGTAAATGTGAAAATCAAGCACTGAAATGTACATTATTCTTTCCTTTCTGCAACTTTTTTGAGACTATCATTTAGCAAATTAAAGAATGGAAAGGAAAAAACCGACAGGTTGAACTTATTAACTATAAATGCACTTAAGCTGACATGTTCTTTCTTGAAGAGACAACAGTTTAGCATGTATAATATGATAGCCTTACAAACCAATGCAAAACCGGTTCTACAGGAAATTCTTAACTCAAAAGATACAAACAGTTTGTAGACCAAGCAACAGCTAATTCACCTAGGATTTGCTGTGGATCATTCAATACTGCAATGGATTTCAGGTCACTATAACTTGCAAGGCAATGAAAAAGCGGACAAACTGGCTATAAATGGCAGTGTATGGTGCAGACAGTTCGTGACTTAACCCAACAATAAGCCATTAATAAAAATTATTATTCAAGGAAGGTAGCTGGATACCTACACCAGATTTTCACCCCAAGACTCGCTTCGTTGCCTCTTAAAAGAGGATCAATGTAACGTATTCAGACTGAGGACAGGACACGACAGGCTTCACCAACGTTTGTTCTAGCTGTGCGGTATCGGAAACACTGAAAAGTATCCTTGCACTGTAGACTGGTTGCTACTATCAGAGACGACATCTGGGCTGTGACAGCCTCAAGAAAAGAAAAGCCTTATACAAAACTGGAAGATTTGCACCATGGTGTTCATCAAAACTACACACCTCCTGATATCATGTTTTCTAGGAAAAGGTTCCAAGAAGAAGAAGAGTTTAACTAAAGCTTGAGGTGATAAATAAAGCATCAACTTTAACTCCAGTGTCTAATTAAGAAGCCAACTGTGTAAACGAGAATATAAAGTCAATTTTGTTAATTATATGATATGTATGTACCGAATTAGTAAACCATTAAGTTTTCAAAAATCTTCAAGAAATGTTTTTACATAATCAAAATGTCGTGTAAGGAAAAAAAATGTAAATACAACCTTTTATTTACAAAGTTTACTGACAACGTCTTAAACAACACACACACACACACACACACACACACACACACACAAAACTGTGTGTGTTTGTGTGTGGTTATATAACGAGCCGTTTGTGTCTGCGTGTGTGTGTTATGATTTAGTTTAATGGATACCAAAGATTACATTTTTCCTCTCGAAAAATCCATCAACAATTGAATTGCACGACTGATGGTGAATGTTGAATTAAGGATCGATACCATATCATCCGTGACACTCCCATAAGCGCATACCAGGATTTTTTTAAAAAAATCGTATTTTGATTGTCTAATTTTAGTCACAGTTACAGGTTATCATTGAAATTACAAAATTGTTAACATTATTTTTCTCTTGTTTTTGTTATCATGACTTCTGCGTTCCGCTCGTTGTGGTTTACAGTAAGGTGCGATATCTGAGCCTTGTCTTCTTGTGAATTCGCCTGAAAATAGTTCTGCAGGAACGCTGTGTTGTGTGTAGGTGTGTGTGGTGCACACCAGCCTCCTTTCAAACAACCGTCACCAGATACTAGAGTACAGGTCTATTGCACTAGCTTTGGTGCATTTAACATTTTTTAGCTAACATTATATGCACACAAAACCAGACCATAGTTATAACCGATACTGCATGCAGTTGGTTGAACGTGATAGATTTTATTTTTTAAGTGGATAGATAAATGGATGGATGGATAAACGAATGGATGGGTGGAGAGATGGATGGATGGATGGAAGGAGGGATGGATGGGGGATCGATGGAGGGATGGATGGAGGGACGGATGGATGGATGGAGGGAGGGATGGATGGGGGATCGATGGAGGGATAGAGGGATGGATGGATGGATGGATGGATGGATGGATGGATGGATGGATGAATGGATGGATGGATGGATGGATGGATGGATGGATGGATGGATGGATGGATGGATGGATGGATGGATGGATGGATGGATGGATGGATGGATGGATGGATGGATGGATGGATGGATGGATGGATGGATGGATGGATGGAGGGAGGGAGGGACGGAGAGATGGAGGGATGGAGGGAGGGATGGATGGAGGGAGGGATGGATAGAGGAATGGATAGAGGAGGGGATAGATTGATTGATGGATGGATGGATGGATGGATGGAAGAATGAATGGATGAATGGACGGATGGATGGATGCATGGATGGATGGATGGATGGATGCATGCATGCATGGATGGATGGATGCATTGATGGAGGGATGCATGGATGGATTGATGCATGAATGGATGGATGGATGGATAGATGGATGGATGGATGTGATTTACATCTAGGCTTCAAGACCTGAGCCTCATCTTCTGTTGTTAGCCATTCAAAATCGCAGAAGGCTCGCGGTTTTGTGATTTACAGTAAGACTGTGATATCTGCGCTTCTCTGTCCAACACATCAGATATCACAATTTGTTTTTAGTCTTCTGTGACAAAATGCTTGATTGAGATATTACACATGTAGGCATCTGTCAATCAAGTCAGTCAAGTGACTTGTCCCCTTTCGGACTACAGGCTTGAGATGAACTGCCCTGAGAAGGAAGGGGGGGGGGGGGGGGGGGGGGACAATATCTGGAGGGTGAACCTGTGGTGTAGTTCCTCATAACCCGTTGACTGACTGACTTTCTACCTCACCAATACAACACACTGAGCTTTAAACACCCGGTCACACAAAGTGCCCACTATTCGAAATTCGATTTCAAGCTATACGATAGACATGGCCAATAAGACAGCTTTTTAAGGGTACATTGTTGACCATGTTCTTAGTGAACTTGTATCCATTGCGACAGGTTCAATTCCCGGCACGGTAACTATAGATTTTGATTTTTAAATTGTATATTGTGTTCTTCTATCTTTCTACTTCTTTCTATGAGTGCCGATCAATTAATTTATTGTTAATTGATTAATTCACCAATCGAAAGAGGATCACCTGTGAAGAGGTCTCAGAAACCCTGTTTGATAATTAGGTTATTTTAGGACCTCCGGCAACAACCCAAGTGGGGCTTCAAATTAACGAAAACACGTCACCACATGGGGACAGAGATTTGAACCCGTTGACTTCAGAGAAGTGTAAAATTCGTGCTGGCGACATCAGGTTAATGTAATTAACATTCTGGAGAAAGATGAGACGTTTGCATAAAAATCATATTTCGTAAACGTTTTCACAGAATATATAGATGGACAATGTATTATTTATAAAAAAAAGTAAGGTTAGTTGCGTATCCTTTACAGGACGTTGCAGAACCAACCCCAACAGCCCCTGGCTGTTGTGTGGTTTTTCTAGGAAAATTTACGACCAGTAGTTTGCCATTGCTTCCTGGACGGTCGGCTTTCTTGATACCACTGTCGAAACCAACGCAAAGCGCATGGCCCTCAGCTGGGATCGAACCTAGCATCCCGGCATTACGAAGCGTTCACACCGACTTAGCCACAGAGCCGACTATAATAAGTAAAGGCTCAAAAATTATAAATAATTATTAATTAGGTTCCATCTTCTCAATACATTTTGGCTACAGTGTAGCACTGTAGTTTTTGCAAATACTACGCAGTGAAACCTCGATCTCTTTCACTTACCCCTGTCCAAAAACTGCAGCAATTTTTTTTTTTTTTTAATCGTCCACAGTTATTATTGAACAGTCTTTTTTTATTTATGCGTTTTGTGACAGTGTTTACTCATTCACAGTCGCTGCGTGTGACCGCTCATCCTGGCGCTACTCTCTTCATCAAGGAGCTTTGGCCTATGAAGCTGCTAGAACTGCAGCAGGAATTCAGAAAAGACAAGCCAGGAAAGACACGGAAGCAAATCACCAGAGAGATACGGCCTCAATTCTCTGTCCGCACTGTTCAGGACCTTTCTGTGCCACACAAAAAAAACCTAATCTAGTCTCCATTGGATGAAAGCCCTGGTCATCACCATCTTTGACGGACGACTAAATTGCCTGTGTATGCCTTTACATGTTTTCACATGTAAGGAGACATGATGAGAAAATCCTAATATCAATATAACTAGAATGTAATTACGCTTGCACCCACAAGGCTAGAACAAACAACATATACCTAATGTAGCGAGTGTAACAAGGACACTGCGCTATTTGCATACGATCAAATACAGTCGAAATCAAGTCTTCTATAAACTTTCGTTTCCGCAAAAAACAAAAAGCAGTGACGTAAATTGTATACGTCAACCGGGTCCTTAATAGCCTAGGCCTTACCTTCCAGAGGTTTGAAAAATTTCGTTTAAAGCATCATGCAACCCAGCCGTACTTTAGGTGTACATACCTTGTTTTTGAGAATATTCCACATTCTTTTGCGATATAGTATTTTCGAAGCGCATTTGCCAGTGTTTCTGGCATACTTAGAAACTTCTAGAAGTCTGCAAAAGTCCTATATAAAGTGAGCCCTTAGCCAGTCAAGACAGACTTAAGCAGACACAGAGGGTAGAAGGCAGAGGGAGCTAGAGGGAAATAGATACTCTAGATTAGTCTCAGATAACCCAAGGAGAGGAGAGTAGAAGAGTTGTAGATTATTCATTTATACATAAACAATTTTTCAGTTAAATCAACGAAACGTGTTTTGGGCAATTCGTTATAGCATCGGTTGAAAAAAAAAGTTAAATAAGAACAACATTGAATTGTTTCTTGCAGATTAAATATGTAGATGTAATTTTCCAAAGTCTTTTCTATGAAGAATAAAAAGTAGAAATAAGTGTTCGAAATAAAAAAAGAAGAAAAAAAATTATGTTCTCATGGTATTTGTCACTTTTTTTCGTGAGGCTGCATGGTGTAGTGTGCCATCTAATCACTATAGTGGGGGACGAGGTGGATGAGGAGGTATTTTTAGTGTTTAACTCGGAGATATTCATAGTAATGGTAAAGGTGATGTTAGTTTCAGCTTCATAGCAAACAGGTCACGCCATAGTTACTCCGCTCCTGTGCCAACGAAAAGCAAACAGAATGTTCATTTCAGTCCCTTGTGGTAAGATTAACAGACTGCTGTCTCAGCATATACACTAGCAAACACACTCATCAAAAGCATACGGTACCCATCAGAAGTGCTAACACAAACAGTCCGACATTATAAATGCAGTTCATCTTCGACGGTAGCAGAGGTAACCACGAATCAGCAGCTGCACACGCGATCAATTTTAATCACATAAGGGCACCACTAATATTGCGATGAGAGGCAACGCGCCATTTTCTGAAGCTACAATTCACAACACCACATTGGTCACAATGGAATAACATTCTAAATGATATCCGCAGCTCACAGGGTCGCACCATGCACTCAACTCAGTAGCTGGGCAACGAAACTATATCATTTCAGTCTAGAAATAGAGAAAAAATGCAACGGCCACCGTCTGGCAGAAGCAAAAACTTTGCCACGAGTCAAAACAGTGACCGTGCCTAGCGTCAATTTTGACCGGAAGTGCTAGTGCAAACGGAAGTCCTAGTACAAATGCGTAATGAAGAAAAGGAAGAGTCGGGAATAGAAGAAAAATAAGGAGAAGAAGAAAAAAAAGTTAAACATTAAAAATTATTACACCATTATCAACTGAGTATGTACGCAGTCTTGTTAGAATGGCTCTGTTTCACGAAAGAGTTAAAAACAAACAGACAGTGAAGACATGGAGTGGGCTGCATGGGACAGAAAAGTACAGGTGGCCTCGGCGTGAGCTGCTGGAGTTCTATGCTCCACTGGCAAAGAAGATGCAGAATAAGCGAAAGGGTTTACCTAATGTGATAGGCACATGAAGGCGGCATGACTAGTTTTTTCTTTTAATAGTAATTTGGCGGAGTCTGTGGCTTAGATGTTGAGGACGAGCTTCGTAATGCCAGGGTGCCGTGCTCGATCCCAGCTGCGGGCCTTCTGGTATGACAGTGTTATCTAGAAGGCGACCGTCTGGAAAGCAATGAAAAACTACTGGATGTAAATTAGCCTAGAAAAACCACAACAGCCACACACACACACACAAAAATGCTGGAGTAGGTTCTGTAATGTCCTGTAAAGAATACACAATTAACTAACTCGATGATAGTTATTTATATAAGTAAATGGAAAACGTTTACCCCTTGACAGATGCAATCACATCGACTGCTCCATGAAAGCCTATTAGAATTTTCACAAGCTCGTGATTTGTTTTCAGAGGAAACTCTTGTCCTGTCAAGTTGATGAAATACTTCCATTTACGGTACTTCCACAAATCTTCCATGCATACAAGCTCGGGCTCAAGGACTGTGTATGTGGCCCATTTTACCTGAATTCTTCTGCTCGCAAGGAATACGTTATTAAAACACTTTACTATTGCAGAAATAGCATCAAAGAAATCTGTGGAAGCTTTCAAGTCCACATGGATGCAGTAAAGATTGTGTGGTCGATAGATGGCGCGCAGCAATCGCTCTACCATCTCAGAGTCTTTGTAGACAATCATTGAATAAGCTATGGGAAACTGCTTTTCCTCGTTCCTCAATGACGACATTATATACCCACGTTGTTTATGAAAGTTCCCACAGTCTTGTGTTAAATTCAGGTAAAATGAATCAGAAAGCGGAGCGCTGATATTTCCTATCAAATTATTGGCGGCAATGATTTCGTCTTTAGAGCCTTTAAATATTGCTGCACAATCCACGCCGGCAACTTTGACTTGTCTAGAGATGTTATGCAAGAGTTCGGCGATGGTTATATTGGTTACTGCCCCCTTGAAACTTGCTCCAGACGAGGTATTTTGAGATGGTAGACAT